CACTTCTGCATGTACACGAATGCCCAAGGCCTCCTCAGCCAACTCGCCGAGCTTCGGTTGCGCCAGGCAACAAAAGCTTGAAATCTCATCTCCATAACCGAGACTTGGTTGCACTCAGGGATTACGGATGCCGAGATCACGATTCGGGGTATCTCCTTGTTTCGACACAAGCGTCCCAGCAGGGGAGGTGGTGCTATCCTCTACTATCATAACGATTTACAATGCGAACCACTGGATGATCCGGAGACGCAAGTCACCGACTCGCCATGGTGCCGTTTGCTTCTCTGACACAACGTTAAGTGCTTTGTGAAGGTCGTATATCGCTCCCCATCGTCCACTCCAGAGATGGATTCCCACCTAATATCATCACTGACGAAATGCCTACTCCTAACTTACAGCAACGTTTTTATTTCGGGCGATTTCAACGTGCACGACTTGGTAAGATCGGCACCCCCCAGCGAAACATACAAGGCCGAACACCGAGACCGTATCGTAAGTATCCCACTTTACAACGACATCACATCACCTACCAGGTACAGAGCTGGTAACAAACCATCGGTACTTGGCCTCGTAACTACAAATGAGGAACTCATGATCTACAGGCCACTTATAGACACCCCACTGGGGTTAAGCGATCATGTCACCATAGTTTATAACTATGCGTTACGCTGAATATCCTGAGGAACACACAGAACTAACCCATACTATTACACATTACAACATTTTGAACAACCTAGATGGGATGACCGATTGGGAGTTCTTGAAAGGTGGCTCACCTGATACCGCATGGATTCAGTTTGTTGGACTCTTCAGCAATCTAAGTGCAACTGCTACGGAAACAAAGAGGGTTCGCTCCACCAATCCCTCACCATTCATCAGAAGTAGAACTCACAAGCGCATGCCAATAAGGAACGCAGCTTGGCACACTTACAGAGCTCGTCCTTATCTCGAAAGCTGGAGTGATTACGTGACCCAGCGCAACCACGGTAACATGCTTGTCCGTGAAGACGAATTGACTCACCAACAACATTTGGCCTGTAAATTTGCCAACAGCCAAAAGCTCCTACACAAGCATGTTAACACCATCCGGAAAGTGCAGCTTGGTATCCCCACACTTAACACGCCAGTCGGAGTGGCACAGAGTGCCGAAGAGGCCCTACGAATGCAGTATGCCCCAACCTTCCAAATAGACGTCCGCCAGTGTTACATACCCACAACCCTATCCCCAACTTCCACACTCCTTAAAAATGAGGTTACCGCCACAACTGTGTTGAGGAAACTGCTCTCACTACGCACCTACAGCTCGCCCGTAATCGACTGTACGCACCCGAGGGCACTGAAAGTAGCAGCAACAACGCTGGTCGGACCATTGTCGCATTTTTTTCGAACGTGCTTTGATAAACAAATGATGCCTACCATGTGGAAACATGGCGCAACTACTCCAATTTGCAAAAGCAGTAATTGCTCGGAACCCGCCAACTATCGCAAGTGGTTCACCTCCCTGTGCTCTCAAATGTGATGGAGGCAATCATCGCTGAGGCTTTAGTAGACAATCTAGAACGACACAACATCATTGCACCCGAGCAACACGGTTTCTGCCGGCACCGTTCATGCACTACCAGCCTATTGAGGGTACGCCGTAGTTGGACGGAAGCGGCTGATACAGGCAGAGAGACAGACGTCATTTACCTCGACTTCTCTAAAGTTTTCGATCGACTGCACAACCGCATTCTGTTTCACAGGCTCGAAATCTATGAAGTTGGGGATCCTATTCTTAGGTGGATCAGAATTTCTTACAGGGTCGGCAACTGCAGATCAGTTCGAAGTGCGCTGCCGGATCCGATTCATGTCAAATGTGGAGTTCCAAAGGATCAGTTCTGGGGCCGCGTCTGTTTCTCGTGTTCATCAACGAGCTTACGCGTTTGATTACTTCAGATATCTTGTTGTTCGTTGACGATGTTAAGAGGTGGCGGACGAATGCCGACCCGGCAGATCACGATGCGCTTCAGCGTGATCTGGACAGAGCGTATGCGTGGTCACTCCACAATCTGCTCCAGTTCAATTCGGGGAAGTGTAGGTGGTTCACATTCGCCACCAGCCGAACATTACATACAAGCTTGGAGATTATGTCCTGCAAGCAGTCACCCAGGAGCGCGACCTTGAGGTATTAGTTCAGGCTGATCTGGGCAGCTCAGAACATCTAAGAGGGCGTGAAGGACCGGGAACCAATATGCTGGCATGCTGCGGGGGGTATTTGGGCGGTTTGATCCCTCTGTCCGTTCGCAGTTGCTTAACACCTATGTACTAACTCATGTGGAATACGTGGTCCAGGTGTGGCAGCCCTGGCACAAACATGACCTTGCAGCGCCCGAGACCTCATAGCGACGATCCACGGAGCACTTCAAAGGCTTGTTCAACATTCCATGCCAACTTAGTTTGAGGACCCTAAAATTATGCAGTGGCCGATACCGGCGTCTACGTAGCGACCTTATTATGGCCTACCGGATTCTAAGGAACCCCAGCCACATCTGCCGTCACCTACTACAACTGAACCACAACAGGAATTTGAGGGGCCACAAATTCAAGTTAGCCACACAATACAGTTGGCTAGAATGTCGATGGAACTATTAGTCTCTTCGTGTGTGTCAGCTTTGGAACGTGTTCGCAAACTACGTCGTTTCCGCCCCAACTTTACCTGTGTTTAAAAAACGTCTTGATGTTGCCCTAACCCACCTACACTACGAGATATAGCCTGTGTATAGCGATAGACGATATAATGCGACGAGCGTAGCACAAGCAGAATTAACCTACATAACTGTGGTTCGCTCGTTCTGCGTGCCACTGTTCGAACACTGTGGTGAGTCCACCAAAACGATTTTCATCTTATTCCTTTATTTTCTATGCACAAGGTTGAGGTCCTCTTTTTGACCATCGTACAGGAATTGCTAAGCATCTGCTTTTTGCCCGCAACATACCATTGTTCCATTCTATTTGGGCACCATACACTACCAGATGCTACCATATTTTCAGACCTGGATGCGAATTTCGAAATATGACATCATGGGGCCCATAATTATAGGCATCCAGCAAAGAGATCGTCTACACAATATGACTGACCAACTGCATGTCAATGCGATGGTTTAATGATAAGCAGAATAGTGACCGTAATAAATTATTTATGATGTTCCCCGTGACATGTTTTCACCTTAAGAGCTTAGTACAATGGGCAGTACAATGGGCACTAACCATCTCTCATTGCTTTGAGATTATCATAATGGCATGGAAATCAATGTTCAAATTCCCAGGTGCTTGTACGAAAGTGCAGTATTCATTCCACTCGGGTTAACAGATGACCAATTAAACCCTCCTACCCCACATATTGGGGAGGCGTAAGCAGATACCCTACCAATGTGGAGCCCGAGCCGGTAAAACAAAAGTGAACGCAGACACAAGATATCGTAATCAACAGCTGAAGAATGCGTAGATGACGATTAGTTTTATCGTAGTATCCTCTGTTGGCTATACCAATCTATACTTCTTACTAGTAGATATCATATGTTGTAGGAAATCAAACGAAGATCGCCAAGCAATATCTGTTATGGCGAGCGGGTCCAAAGAAACTAACTTACATGCCTCCAGGATCGTAACCGTATAAAGTTCATTTTAACAAGCTGATACTTCCCCGTGTGGTAAGTAAACCATGGTGTTTTTAACTGTACAAACCGGATTAAGCCTCATTCCACTGTGAAACGGTGGGGTGTTTTCTTAATAAAACATGGAGCAATTTCGGCTAAAATGGCGAATAGTGAGATAACGAACTTTAGTACCGGCGGTAGCATCAAGCGCTACTCTTAAAGCATTCCAACAATGTTCCCATGGACCCCCACAAAGTGATGGAAAGTCTATCATAAATAGAGCCTAATAATTCATACAATATTTAAGCTTAGGCAGAAGTGTGCAACATATAATGGGGTGGACAGTGGTATCGTGTCTTGGAATTGTCTTCAACCTGTTGGAGCTTGAATACTTACAAATTAGTAAAGGGGAGTGGACATTACTTGTACCAATCATTAAGCCATAAAAGCGAACAAAATCGATTGGTCGGACTATCCGCATACCTACCATCGCCAGAGCCTATGCGTAGTACCTCCAGCGAAGAACATGAAAAGTAAAGGGGAACCTGTACTCTACCAGAAGCGTGCTAATTTTTCGATCGGTGAATGCCAAATCGGAGAATGCAGTTGTAGAGAATTCACCTTGGATTAAAGAGTAGTTAGTGGTAAACGAATTTGGAATATTTGGCACTGCAGCATAGCACGCGGGGGTTATGGTGTGACAAGTTGGCTTTCATATACGTACATACCACATAAAACGCGTTTTGTCAACGTCCATAAAACAGATTAATGAGTCGCGTACTACAAGTCTCCAGACAGTGAGTAAATTCATACTGGCATGTGGAGGGGTATGCCATTCTTATGCAGACGAAAAATTGCACTGAAATTACGGACCTTCGCCAGATCGCTGTTCGCCATGAATTTTTATGAACAGTTCAAAAGAAGTCGATGTACTTTCCGATCGCCAATGTCGGATGGACTGCAGTAAACTTCTATCAGCTAGCTGTCCGGTTTTACCGTAAAAAAACTAAGGAAAAACTCATCCAACTATACACACCTCCTCAATTCGAGTGAAGAAGAAGCACCGTGTCTGAATACCACATAGATAAATAAGTTTTGACACTGTTCGTCGTTTGTTTTCGACAGAAGTGCATGCGGCCTCGACTGCCAATCAGCTGCGATCTGTGCTATGTAATTTAGTTTGTTTTGTTCTGAAGCTGTTTTCCCATTCTGGAGATACACCTCTTTTTTGTGCACCAGCTGACATATCTGTGGAGACCACGGCACACAGAGTTCTGTAGTTCCACTGTTACTGTTTACTTGAAGGCGTACTTAACGAAAGCGAAAGGATAGACTGGTTCAGAGAAGTTTCCTACGTAGGCTCACCTGGTCTGCGCACCAGTACCATAGAGAAGCAGCCGTCTGACCGATTACAAATCCCAACCAGGGCATATCTGGATCATCGATCTCCTTCAAGAGCTTGAAGGCTTTGGGGGAAGGCAAGCTGCAGCTCAGGCTGGGATCCACACCAGGAGATGAAGCAAGCTTGTGAAGTGGAATGAAGCGCCCACCTGAGATGTTTGCTAGAGTGATGATAAGGTTTGAACCTTGGTCGGAGAGCAAGTCAACCGGCGCGATAGCCTCACCATATAGGTTCAACACACCAGGAAAGCCACCGACTTTCACATAACCTGAAGTATACAAAATGAGGCTGGTTAGTGCATCGGGTAATAAACGAGGCAGAGCACAGATACTACGATGCAGTTGAAGAAAATCACGTCAAAGTTCCCTAGTATTGTAAGATAACTGTAAGCTTGCCTGGAATAATCTGTTTGCATAGATACCTTAGGGGCTTGTTGAAAGACGTGTCATGACAGAGCTTGAGGACGTTGAACTAGCGGAACGTACTCATACCAAACTGATCTCCGGATATTTATAAGCTAAAGCGCTTGTGCCCCGCAAGTGGATTCTAACAAGTAGCGTCTACATTACGTGTTTAGGTTGGGCCGCATGTAGTCAGCCGGCGGCCGAGTGGCATGCACGCCTGGCTTGCAATCATAAGGTCATCGGTACGAATCCGCGTAGGGGAGGGTGTCCTAGCGGCTGTTGGTGGTCTCGCGGCAGCGGAGCGCCGTTACGGCGTACAGCTCACACACGATTTTAGGCCGCTAAAGAAACGGAGAACTGGCTTAGGTTGTAAGGTGTACCGTGGTGGCATTTTTTACATATTTATGCCGTGAGATCGCTGAGACGGAGTTGTCAACAACCAGCTTATGATTCAAGTCGTCAAGAAATTGGTTTATGTATTCTTGGCGGGTGAATATTCAGCTATTATTATTGGGGTTAACGAGAGTAAAAAGGCAGTTGCAAGTATCATCACACCAAGAGGCTTTTACTATGACCCTGAACCATACTAAGCTTTTTTCGATATTTCCCATCAAGCTAATAGATATATAAAACTGGTTAAATTCGTGATAGGCTAAAATGGCAAGTCTAGGGTTGGACAGCCTAACGTGGCCCCTCGACCTACGAAAATCCTGCGGGGATGGGAGCAATCCGAACTGCGTCTCAAGTGACGACAAGGGGCATATGTTAAGGCATAAGGGAGTACAACTGGTGGGGAACTCTTGAGGCAAAACGAAGCTAATACCTAGCCTCAAGACTGATATGCGAGATGATCCGCTGTGATGAGTGCTACGCAGAGATGTGATCCAGACCAAGTGACATACCTCCGACTTAGTGGAATTAGGATCCTAATGACCTTAGTGACACACAATTTTGGGACCGTAAGCCGTGAAATGGTCTCTGTAACACCCAACTATTCGACCTCGATTGAATCACTTACTGCATCTCGTCTTAATTGTATACACAGGAAGCTCCAGCATCACAACACTAAAGTCGACGGACAATGGTTATTTCGTCATCTAGATAAAGGTAACTTAATCAAAGATGTGAAGAAGCGTCCACCAAAGAGAACAGGAAGTAACCAACAGTAAGCTGCATAAGAAAAATAGTTGTTGCCTGAAGTGGAGGGTTTCGGCGTTGCTCTATCCCACCCCTGCACTCCACAACCTGCACGGTAGAAACTGTCCTCTCACGCTGATCGCAAATGCCACTTGTGAATACTGCGGCACATCAAGCATCAAGGATGAAGTGTCCGAAAATCGAACGCACAGCATCAGTGAAGCCCGAGGTTGATCGCAACAATACACTACATTTCTTGAAAAGGTTGTTCCATGGCTGTGATACTGCAACCTAAGACAGATTGTGTAACCGGAGTTTAGTAGGAGTGTAACCCGCAGAGTTAACCGAGTACTAAGAACAAATGAATCATGAATCACAACGCCACGGTTTATTGAATCAGCATGGTGTAGCTGACTTGTCACGATGCGAATCGGAAGGAAAGTGTTGAGACTCAAACAAGCCGTTCAGAGGGAAGTCACCCAATGAATAACGCCGGGTTGTACCTGGTTGTAGCAGAAGTCCAACTTGTCGGTACAACCAGTAATATAATCGCATCGGATTGAGTGCAATGATGGACCCGATGAACTGAACCCTCCGTGGTGGGCATGCAAGATCAGAGACTCAGCCCTACGCGGTAAAATCAAGCCCATGAAGAAAATCGTTGTTAAAAATTTGGATTCTGCACCAATAAACATGCTTTACCAAAATTCTGCAAGCAAGTAAGGTGTGACTGAACTGGATGGTCGTTAAGCAGACTCCTTTAACCTGTGTTAACGTTGTGGTGACTCCAGATGAGCAAGTACAAAGAATGGAAGACAGGATGGCCTAGTGAACGAGGATGGCAGCTCACTGCAAACAGGTAAGGATGAACGAATGGTGAAAGAATATGGTGGGACAAATGTTCGAAGGAGTTGTCAAATCTCTGATTCAACCAGAACGAGCTAAATGAAGGGGCATTAAGAGAGAATGTAATAACCAGGTAACCATATTACTTTTTGAGAACCAAACGCCTAGCTCAAGGAACATGTTTGTGCTATTTCATATTGCTGTAATTGTTTCGCAACATTCATGCAGCTAGGACAAAAATCAATCCTAAATAAAATGTTGCGTGCTAGCTAGCCAATTATTTTCAACACCACAAAAGTGCGGACTTTTGGCTTCCGCGTACCAAGTAACCTTTGAAGCAGTACCATTCTGTCGGTGGTGATTAATTCCTGGTGCTCGAGATCATCCAACTCCACCTGCGATCCACTAGGGTCCGCAGTTAACTTGGTGTACAAATGTAAATAGTTACAAGCGCGAACGCTCCCTGCAGCTTGTGTAAACCAAAGTAGCAGCATTAGGACGGAGGTAAGACGATGTCATTTTTCGAGGCAAGCGCGCGCTCCATAGTATTTTTAGATAAGCACTAAGATATCCACATAAATGGATGGTGACTCACCGAGTATGGCCAAGATAAAAGCGCCAATAATCATGATGAAGAATTGCAGCGTGTCCGTGTATATGACGGCAGCCAAGCCGCCTAAAAAGGAAGGTGGTGGGAGGGAAACAGGAACATCAAAGCAAGTAAAAAGTCGTACGTCGTACGTGATCGTTCCCGTCTATCCAACCATGTCACCGCAGCTTGGTAACCACAGACACTGTATAAATCTGCTATCGTTTGCGTGTCTCCGACATACCACCCTACGCTGAGTGAGTATAAAGTGGGTAACGCTAAATGCTGTATCAGAGTCGGGGTATCGATGTTGAAAGACATAACGTGAAACAGTAAACGAGGTTTAAGAGACGAATTACCTACCTTGATACTCTATGATGCAAATTTAGTGGTGGTATCAAGCCAGCAAATTTGAGAAGGTACTGTTAATGGATAGAAAGTAGCTGAATTCAAATCAGAAGAGAGAAAAGAGGAGGATTGCATAGACAGTGACTAAAAAGGTCGGAAACTCTCATTAGTTTCTCCTGGGACATTGCATAGATGGTGATGTTAGTTTGGTAGTGACATTTTGAGCTTTTGTACTTCAGTAAAGTATATTGGAATTACACTGAGCCAGAATTTATTGTGGACACCCCCGTGAATGAAATATTCACCGAAGTTAGGCGATTTTCGCTATACGTCGCTAAATTGAGAGCAACCTCCGTACCATACAAGTTAATTCTGAAGTTCATCACCACGTATATTCTACCACACTGGACTTATTGCTCTCCTTTGATTTTCCAGGCTTATTGTGTAAACATTCCAAGTCACTTGGCAGGTCCCAGAAGCTCTTGTCTCGCTACAGTGGCATTCCAAAGTGAAATTTGGCTCAAACAATTTTACCCATGCAGTTAAATCCTGAACAACAATTGCTTCCAAACTATACACCGACATTAGTCACCTTCGTCCCAGCGTACTCTCCAACTGTCTCATCGGCCAGACACAAGTACAGAGCACGAGGGCATATAGTTTCAGTCAACCCCTAGCTAGCCAGATTTCTATTTGACCAGAATGTCAGTATCTAAGAATTGCACGGGAAATTTTGTTAGTGAGGTTAGATTTTTCACTGGGCTTTTCTTTTGCAGTGCTTCTGTTGCTATTGAAAAAGCTTTTGTTATAAGGTTAGCATGTTACGCTTGAAGATTCACTTGTCGTTGGTGCACAAAAGCGCATTCATGACTTCTAATCTGATATCCCCGCACACATATGATTAAAGTGATAATGCATGGGGTTCTCAAATGTTGTATGCAAACTCTTCCAGTAAAGGTAAGTAGGAAGGACGGAAGAGTACGCTGGGAAATTGAGCAAATAGCGTACAAGTGTCCGGGAGTAAGTGCGATAAAAAAATAGCCGAATGCGCATTAGTTAGGATCACTGTTGGTGATCACAAGGAAATTGGAGCGTCTGTTTGAAGATCGAATTCTCCTAAACTCAGACTATACACCAGGTGTTGCTTGAGGGTTAAGGTATGTACAGCTACTAAGGACATTAGGGATAGGAATTCGCACCTCCTAGGTGTATTGGGATAGGTAATAAACTGAGGGCCATCCCGCTCAGACACAATACTTGGAGGTAAGCAATGAGTAAGGCACTAACAAACGCAGTTGTGATTAGCAGCTGATGGCGCAGGCTGCATACCGCACCTTCAGAAAAGCACTGCTTATTGTGTGTGTGATCTCAGCAGTCTAACAACTAGACACAGAGCCAACAGAAAACCAGGTTTTAGTGAAAAGGCGAATGGTAAACCAAGTGGGTATTGCTGAAGGTGTATAAGGTACTTTATAGCAAATAATGTATTTTATCGATCCGGACACATGTAAGTGAATCGCTGATCCAGCTCACCTGTAAGAGTGATCAAGGAAGTCATCCCCAAAATGAGGAAAATGGATGGCCATATATTCCAGTTCAGTGCTTCTTGCAGAAATAGAGAGCCTGAGTATAAGTTAACCTGTAAAGTACCCAAAGCATTCATTGAATGAGTTGTATCTAAAGGTTTCTAGCTCCTTAGAGATAGTTTTGATAGCTGAACCATCTTAGGACCGTTGCTCTTCGTTCTTAATGCCCTAAAGTGGTTGTATGTACGAAAAATTGTGAGATCAGCAGCAGCAAGCGAACAACTCGGAAATAGTGTTGCAACCAATACTGGCGGGTCTTCAATAAATCGCAATGGCACATTGAAAAGTACAGAAAGAAAATACCTATTACTTCAACTCAGCTTAAGTAACCTATTATACAAGTCTAACTCTCAACTAGTGTGATGGCACTGAAAAGTGATTTTTAAAACCTGGTCTCGGTACGATAAGAATCTAGTGTACCAAATGTGCGAAACGCGTTCTGATATATTAGTTTGTTAACAAAGTGGTTGCGGGTCTTGATGTCTTAAATTTGACGGCTGCACTTTTGAACAAACTTTTAAAATGTTGTTTTAATTTCACATATCATTTTTGAGTGGAATTTTCTACCTATCTATCAGTAGCAATTGCTTAGCTGAGAAACGTGTTGGCATTTTACAGAATATTTAATGCAACATGGACAGAAGGCAAATTCACACAATTTTCTCGTTTAATTTAAACCTGCTGGAACTGCAGAGGAAACAGCCCATGATAACAATAACGTATTTAGTCCTGGAATGACTAATGATCGTACCGCGCAATGGTGGTTTCTGAGATTTCGAAAAGCTTAAGAGAAGCTTGAAGATGAAGAGCGTTTTGGAGAACAATATGTAGTGAACGACGATTAATTAAGCATATTAGCTAAAGGCGATAAGCGGAAAACTGTTCGGGAGCTTGCTTCTGACGTAGCAGTGTTACATATGACAGTTTTCAAACATTAACCGCTGTCGAAAAAGCTGCATAAGTGGGTGTCGCACGAATTGAATGAAAAGTAAAGAAATCGTAGTCTTAGCATATCGTCTGCCCTTGTTCTGTGCAATAAAACGACCAGTTTCTCGACTTGTTGTGACACGCGATGAAAGTTAGATCAGTTGCGACGATCAATGATGCGCTTCTCAGTGGTTGGACCACCATCAAGCTGCACAACAATTCCCAAAGCCGAGGTTGCGCACTTACTGGTGGTCTGATCCGGTAGTGCTTTCTGGATCCAGGCGAAACCATTACGCCGGAGACGTGTTGCCAATCAATTACCGAAACAAAGCGAAAACACGACTGCATGTGCCCGGCATCAGTTAACAGAAAAGGTCCAATTCTCCGCACGTCGCACAATCAAACCTGCGGAAGTTGCACGAGCTGGGCTCCGAAACTTTGTCTCACCTATATACTTTCCTGATCTCACGCCTATCGAATACTATTTTTGCAAGCAGAGATTACTTCTTCCGAGAGCTATGTATTAAAACCCAAGGAGATACAGAAGCTGAACTCGACGAGTTCGTCGTCATCATAACACGGAATTTTATTCCTCCGGGATAAATAAATTGCTTCCCGCAAAAGTTTACTAATTTGAGTAGCTTTCGTTCCGATTAAAAATGCTACGTTTGTTCCAAGATGTAAGGGTTCAAATATTATGATTAAAACCCGCAATAAATTTATTAATAACCAAATAATATCTGTAGCAGTTAGTAACCAAACCAAAATCACAAATTTCAGATAAATTAGGTGTAATAGTTAACTAAGCCGCAATCAATTGCCTCTAAAAATAGCCAGAATTAGAAAAATACCACAACACTGGTTGCTAAAACACTAAGGAAAAACTGACTCAATCAGAGTCATAAAAAAAGTTTTGTCAGTAGCTAGCTAAGTTACACAACTAGAAAGGATGTGTTTCAAGTAACTATAGAAAGTAACAGCGTTTGGCAAAGGAAAGTTGGTGCAAGGAAACAGGGGAAGGCCATGACATAAACACAATTAGTGAGTGGAATTTATTAACTCGGTACCAAAATCGCTCACCATCAGCATCCACATGAACATCCGCCACATCCTCCTGGTCATCATCATCATCATCATCATCATCATCATCATCATCATCATCATCATCATCATCATCATCATCATCATCATCATCATCATCATCATCATCATCATCATCATCATCATCATCATCATCATCATCATCATCATCATCATCATCATCATCATCATCATCATCATCATCATCATCATCATCATCATCATCATCATCATCATCATCATCATCATCATCATCATCATCATCATCATCATCATCATCATCATCATCATCATCATCATCATCATCATCATCATCATCATCATCATCATCATCATCATCATCATCATCATCATCATCATCATCATCATCATCATCATCATCATCATCATCATCATCATCATCATCATCATCATCATCATCATCATCATCATCATCATCATCATCATCATCATCATCATCATCATCATCATCATCATCATCATCATCATCATCATCATCATCATCATCATCATCATCATCATCATCATCATCATCATCATCATCATCATCATCATCATCATCATCATCATCATCATCATCATCATCATCATCATCATCATCATCATCATCATCATCATCATCATCATCATCATCATCATCATCATCATCATCATCATCATCATCATCATCATCATCATCATCATCATCATCATCATCATCATCATCATCATCATCATCATCATCATCATCATCATCATCATCATCATCATCATCATCATCATCATCATCATCATCATCATCATCATCATCATCATCATCATCATCATCATCATCATCATCATCATCATCATCATCATCATCATCATCATCATCATCATCATCATCATCATCATCATCATCATCATCATCATCATCATCATCATCATCATCATCATCATCATCATCATCATCATCATCATCATCATCATCATCATCATCATCATCATCATCATCATCATCATCATCATCATCATCATCATCATCATCATCATCATCATCATCATCATCATCATCATCATCATCATCATCATCATCATCATCATCATCATCATCATCATCATCATCATCATCATCATCATCATCATCATCATCATCATCATCATCATCAAAAGAGGCAAACAGACTAACCATTCACAATTAGTTCACAATGCACAAGAGTTTGTAGGGATGCTGTGGAAGCGCAGTTGCACATACGATCGCACAAGCCGAGTCAATCCCATGCTGCCCTCACGTATGACGTAAACATCCACAATCAGGTGAATTCTAATGTTCCGTAAGCTCCGCGCTCCTCATTTTCGGCTCTGTAAAAATTCCCATCTTTCGCCAGCTTCAGTACGTAATCCTGGCTTCTTAAAATTGCATTCTCTTTTCGCCGAACCGTAAAAGTACTTTAGATGAAAGCTGGTGACCCCATCTTCCTCTTGCGTTCGGGCATGCGTATGGTCAGGGTACGTCTCATGTGTTGGAGCCCACTCCGCAAAGACCGTATCGATCGTTCCAACAGGAATTTTATCACAACCAGGTCGGCATAACAAAGGGTCAGAAGAAATTCTCTCGTTTTCGGAACATTGTCAGACAGCTTATCACATGTTCCGCCGCGACGTTATATTTAAGTAGAGGGCAATTAAAATATTCGCATATGTCATGGGAACGTTTTCTAAGCAAAGTAGGTCAACACTGTCCTTTGCATGTCCGTAAACTGTACCGCGGTTAGTACCCAGATGACGAAATCTGTCATCGTCAGTCATTACTGTGTTGCAGAAGCCGCTGTCTCACCCGATGCTGGTAGTGAGTTCGAGTCGCGTAATTTGCAAGATAGGTTGACGAGGCTGGAGGAAATCAGTATGATGGAACGATTGATCTATGCTTTCCAAGGGAGAGTGGCGACTGTCTAACGCAATATAGCGGCCATGCATCACAAACCACCTCAAGTTACCGCACTACTTTCTAATGACGTAAGGTAAATGCCTCAGCAGTACGCCGGTATACTGCTGGCGCCTCGCTGCTGCGAAATTGCCACCAGTTGCACGTGAGCTAAGAATACTGCAAGGGTAGCCTAGTCCCTACACAGGCTCGAACCCACGCCCTCGGATTACTAGGCAGGCTTGTGATTGGAAAAAATAAGAGGAGCGTTAGCATTGTTAGGTAGATGTTCTAACAGCAGTAGAGGGACAACGTAATCCATAACACAAACGCCGATCAGGTCGTGTCGGCAATTGTCTCTAACCAAATGTGTTTATTGTCTTTCGGACCCCGAGCAGGATGTCTGGAGGCACTAACCGAGGTCAAGTACGTAGTGAGAGCCTCCATTGCTTTTGACCAAGTCATCGCTTGGCCTCCTCTCTTCTATCTTCTGGATACTCGACGTGTAAGTGGGCGTTGAAGAATTCCGTATGCTGGCGTACATAACATACGAGGGTAGCACAAGCATCATCATCATCATTATAGACGTTAGCTGCAGGTGGAAAACACCTTAGCGATTGTCTCAGTACTAAAGACAAGATAAAATACAACAGTGGCACGCCGGATGAGTCCCCAGTAACGGATGGACATGGTTCCGGGGAGCTAACAGCCGGCTATCCTATCGGCTGTCTGCGCCGACATCCCGGTGCGTTTCGGTGGACGTCCGCAATATCGAGGTGAACGGATTGACACCAGCCAGCTGGTTAAACCAGGTGTTCTGAATGTGCGCTGACATCCGAGCTGAGTAAGCGCCCGCTGCACACCGTCGAAGATCCCTGGTCGCAGATTCGTCAAATGTTACTATCAGCAGATATGTCTTCATGTGGCAAATCAAATTGCCAAATTAGACATTGGGTCTCTACACAGTCTCTGGAACTTATGGATGCTCGCCGACGTATTCGGGCTGGAAGCGAATACAATGAGGCGCGCAAAAATCTCAGGACAAAACTGCGTGCTAGCCTGAAGAAAAACCGCGAAGACTGGTTGCTGCATCGTGCATCGGAAATGGAAACAGCCGCTATCGTTGGTAATCATGGTAAGTTATTCCGTCTGATATGGGAAACA